TGCATAGGGTTGGCTGTCAAGCTGGCTGACAATGATGATTTACCCTGACAACAATGTATGACGTGCTGTGTGGGGACTGGCCCAAGAGAGCAGAATTTTCCCTAGCAGAGTCTGCTGCCTACCAAAATCTCCCTTTGGAGATGCCACTTGTAAAGCTAATTGGGTCCTGCTCTGATGTGGTCTGAAGTCTTCCACTGGGTTTGTTGGTTCTGGGTTTGTTGGTTCAGCAGTCCCTGCTTCTTGGGAGGGACTCTGGTACAAGTCAACATGAGATGCTGCCTGTGACTGGGCAACCCATTTTAGCTACATAGCATTTCATAGTTTTTGACTGCCTCTGCTTGGTCTGGTTGTGCATGGAAAGGACCAAACTGTGCACCAAGGCCAGCTTCCACCAGCACTGAGCCTGGAGCAGGTCAGCAAAAGGCCTAAGATTCCAAAATCTGCCTTCATTATTAGTATCTATTCGGCTCAGTCTCTGAAAGAGCCTCTGGAGGTACACAAGTTGCATGAAGTAGGTTCTCAGTGAGTCACAAGGTAGGGGTGAGTGGTGTTTACTGGACTGACACTGATTCAAACTTGGTGCCGGTGCTGCATCTGAAGCCACTCAGCAAAAGTTCCAGGGTACACCAAGGTCTGTAGCTACCTCCTGAGTTCCTCTGGGCCTTTGTGATTAGGCAGGGTGTCAGAGAGTCATCATGGTGAGGCCAGTAGGGTTCATCAGGCCTAAACAGACTAAGATTTGGCCATGTGAAGGGAGGGATCTACACAGGAACTGTGGTGCCAGTCAGTCATGGGAGGGGAAAATGTCCCCCACTCCACAGCCACACTACACAGTCTCCCCTGGATTCTGCCCGAATCACCTTGAGAGCCTGAGACATACATGGCACGTCTGCCTGTAGTGGGGAGGCTGAAGCTAGTGGATCTCTTGGTGGGGTGGTGCCTGTCAGACTCATGGGAAGGGGGAATGGCTCCTGCCCTAGTCACACAATTTAGTTTCTGACACCCCTGAGTCCACCCAGATCTCTGTACCAGGGACCCAGGTAGCTGACTCCTCCACAGGGCATGAGCTTGGCAGGGTGGGGACACAGGGAGTTGGAAGGTTGAGATTATTGCATTCCCCCAGGCTAATACCCTATGGAGAGGAGTTCTTGAAGCAAGAAAGATAGTGTCTGTGGGCGGTGTGGGAAAGGGACTCAGCTAAGTGACCCTGGCAGCTGTCCCACAGCTCTGTCTTTAGAAGCACACAATTCAGTCCCTCCTTGCTCAACTTTAATCTTCTCCTACCTACCCTTCTTCTGCCAGAGCCCAGGGTGAGTGTCTGGGAATGAGATTTTGTGCACTGACCCTTTAAGAGGGCACCTGAGCTTTGGATAGGTGGTTCATTTGGTTCGAGAATCATCCTGTACACCAAAAGGTCATAAGTTTGATTCCCAGTCAGGGCACATACTAAGGTTGCAGGTTCAATCCCTGGTCAGAGTACATACAGGAGGCAGGAGGTAGCTGATCGATGTTTGTCTCACATGTCTCTCTCTCTCTCTCCTTCCTTCTCTCTCTCCCTCTCCTATCCTCTCTCTGAAATCAATAAACATATATTTGGGTGAGGATTTATTTTTTTAAAAAAGAGGGCACCTGGTTTTCTAGCAGACACACATCTCTCCCTGGCAGAAAGAATTCCTGCTGATTTTCACAGCCAGATGTTACTTGGGCACCTCTTCCCAGCTCTGGTACTCTGGGCTAGGGAGCTCAATTTGGGGTTAAGACCTATTGCTCCACAAGGGGGACTTTGCAAGTGTGATATCCCTTCAGATTTTCAGACTTCCACACATAGGTGTGGGGCCAGCTCTTTTCACATCTTTGCCCTTCCTACCAGTCTCAATGTGTCTGTAAAGTCTTGGTTATGAGATTTCTGTTCAACTAGAATTCAGTTGGTTATACAGGTTGATTGTTCTATAATTTAGTTGTAATTCCAATTTGGTCCTTGGAGATAAGTGTAACTTCCACCTGCTCTGCTACCATCTTGGATCTCTGATTTCAGGTATTTCAAACTTGTTGAAGTTGATTTTATGGCTCAGGGTATGGTCTATGGGTGGGGGTGAGGCCATAATTTTTCCCATGGTGTCTGACTGGAGTAGAATGGTTATTGTATAAAAGTTTTCCATCTTTCTAGTCTGTCCCTTTCCTGATTCTTTGATTAGAGAAAGGTTTTCTTGGGGTTCTTAATGTCAATTTCCATTGACATTTCTGGTTTCTGGATTCTCCACCACCAAGTCTGGGATGTATAAGGCAAAAAGGAAATCTAGAATACTCACCTTAAGTGAGTCATTCCACAGGTACTGCAGTGTCTAGCTGGTCTCCCAAGGAGGGCCTCCCAAGAATTGTTCTTCATACCCCCTCCCAATAACCAGCCCAGACAAAGGACCTTTTGAGGGTCTCTGGGCATCAAGAAAGGCTCTGGAAATTAGCCCTTACTGGTGATAATGTTATTGAATAATGAGAGGACTGGAGAAGTGAGGTACAAAACAGCACATTTTGGAGTTTTACCTCCATTTTGTGGCAAAAAGGAACCCAGAAGACAATGTCCTACACTCCTGGGGAAAGATAGATCAAAGACTCCCAATTCTTCCACATTCTTCTCTCCCTCCATAGAAGAGGCTAAGGTGGGTGAGTGGGAGGTGCACAAGGACTCTGGCTCACTTCTGCTTCTCTCCACGCCTCCATCTCAGGGCTCTGGTGCCACTCACTATGCAGAGCTTTGCTTATGCGATGGGGGAAGAGTGGGTCTAGGGGCTGCAGGTGCTGAGTCCAGGAGCAGCAAGCAGGTTTTCTGAGATGTCAGGGGAAAAGAAAAAAATCACTTCCCTACTTTCTGTAAGGTGGATTGGAAAGAGCCTTGGAGAAGAGGGTTTTTTTTTTTTTTAATTTTTTGGTAAAGATTTTATTTATTTATTTTTAAAGAGAGGGGAAGGGAAGGAGAAAAAAAGGGAGCGAAACATCAATGTGTGGTTGCCTCTTGCATGTCCCCTACTGGGGACCTGGCCCACAACCCAGGCATGTGCCCTGACTGGGAATCAAACTGGCCACCCTTTGCTTCACAGGCCTGCGCTGAATTCACTGAGTTAAACCAGCCAGGGTGGAGAACAGGTTTGAAACCTGGCATTCAGTTTCCCCTCTGGGCCTCACTTTCCCAATCTGTATAAAACAGGTATAAGAGCAGCAATTCCCAGGGTTGGGGAGAGGGTCAATCAAGTGCGATGAGGAATATGGAAGCATCTATGAACTGTAAGTTGCCCACCCAAAGGTGAGAATGCCGTTATCACTGAATGAGGCCACTGCATCTAGATATGCTGGGCGCGGGCAGTAGGCCCTTGTGTTCATGGAGCTGAAGGATGAAAAGAGTGTGTCTGTGTATCTGTGCATGTGTATGGAGGCGGAGAGGACGGCAATGAGGAGGCAAGTAGCTGGAAGATCTCGGACTGACAGGAGGAAACTGGCCTTTGCAGGGCTTTAATGCCTGAAGATCTGCAAGGATGCCCCCCACCAGAAGAATCCACCTTGAGGGAGGGAGGGTGTATGTGAGAGAGGAGTGGACCTGGTTACCCTGGTCCCCTCCTTCACCTCACTTAAGCAACCGGCTGAAGAAAGCAGGTTGGTGGAGTAAACTGGAGGAGTGTTAGGTGGGAAACAAATTGATGAGCTCTGGTTTTGCAGTCTGGTCCTTCATACGGTTCCTGGTAGGAAGTCCTGCTAGTTCACCCATGTGAATTGTAGGGCAGCCATTGTGTTTCGAGGGCGGGGGGGTGGGGGTGGGAGTTCACCTTTTCACTGGGTGAGATCTGGGGTCTGTGTGGTGTGGGAGTGGACGTGAGTTGGGAGCTCCCACCAGCATGGTTGCCCCTGGGAGTTCTTGGACAACTTTTATGATGACTGGGGAGGAAGAATAATGGGTATGCCAATGCTTAGGCAAAAGTAACTACACTGTGCTGAGTTGCATGGATGAGGCAGCCCTGCAGGGCCAGACTAGGGTTGGAGTTTGGAAATGAGGGCAAAGGACGATGGCTACTCGGACTCCAGCATTTCCCAAAGCAGTTCATGCCCCCAGTCTCCTCATTCTGGCCAGCCTCCTGCCTGAAATCACTTAGGACCTCCACTAGCTGCTGCGAACACTGTCCTTGGGGCCAAATCTGGTTGGGAGGGGGGTGACAGTTTCCCACTGGCTTCTCTTAAGGGCTCTGGACCCAGCGTGCAGCGACACTGCAGTCTGTGGTGGCAGTGGCATGGGCAGCACCATGGGGGCGGGGGATCAAGGAGCAGCTGGGCCCAGTGCACAGGGCAGCTGCTGTCTCTGGCTCTGTGAACAGTTGGGTGCACCTGGGACTGGGCCCTCTCACCTTCTTTCCTGTTCCCTTCCCCTGGGTGGGAAAGGTGGCTACCCTGAGCGGACCTGATTCCGGTCTACCAGGGGCAGATGTATCTCCATGGCGTGCCTCCCAGGTTCTTAACCTTCCTAGACCCGGTAATGGATGGAGGGCCACCGAGGGCCGAGAAGCGACCCCCTTTCCGCCCAAGGTGTGACCCGAGGCCCGTAGCAGAAGTAGGAGCAGCAGTCACGGTCCTGTTCAGCCCGCCATCCCCCAGCCCCATCTCCATCCCCAGGCATTCCCCGAGTGTGGAGTGGGCGAGGGGACCTGGTGGAAAAATGGTACCCGTTAGCACCCCCACCCCCTTATCCCAGAGCCCAGTAGTTGCGAGGGCAGTGTAGGGTGAGTGTATAGTGGAAAAGAGTTGCAGTCACCCCATGAACGTCTCTAGCCCCTATCCCTGGGGCGTCTACGGTAGGAGCCTGGGAGCGTGGAGACTGACTGGGTCTGGGCTCCAGATAGGTGTCGACAGTTCACGTCTCTGACTGGCCCGGGCGTGAGCTGGCTGGGCTCAGCTATGCCCTTCGCTCCCCGCTCCCCCAACTGGACACGGGCTCGACACTTGTTAGATTTGCGCAATGGGCTAATTTTATCCGGCTCCCGCTCAGCAGGAAACCAATGTTGAGGAAAGCCTAGTTCTTTAGGGTGGCTCTGGCCCTGCCGAAGCCACTCAAGGGGCCATGAAGAAGGGAAATGCTGTGGCCTCCGTTCCAGAAGAGGTGCGGTCGTCTTCTCCTGCTCCAAAGGCGCTGAGGTTGGTATGATCAGGGCCGCTGGGGTTCAGAAGAGGAAAAAGTGTTTTGATAATATAGTACAAATTCCTCCTTGTGTTTGTTCTTTTTGTTTTCTCTACCTGTTCCCATCATTCCTGAAATCTATGGGTTCTAGCAGAGTGACTGTCACAAACCAGGTCTTTAGAAAATATTGCTGAAATGACTTTAAAACCAGGCGTGCAACTCTGCTTTTGGTGACCACTAGAGAGAGCGGAAAGACAGGAATCAAAAAATTTTCTAAAGCAAAGCCTCCTCAGCTCCTGCAGGAGTTGGGCATGGAATTCTTTTCCTTGTGCCTCTGGAGTCTCCTCTACATTTCAGCTTATTAAAATTTAATTTACTTCTGGCTCTGGTTCAAACCAGCACCTACCCTATCTGACACCAGGGATTTGTTGGGGGCACCTGTAACCCATCAGCTGGCCTGCTCTGCTTCTGTGAAGTGGCAGAGAGCTGCTGTCAGACATGAAAAGGCCCTGAAGGAAAGCATATGCTCATACAAATTATGGGATTCCATAGTTTTGAAATGTAATGATCACACACCAACTGGGGCCCTAGGGCCACTGGGGGAGGGGATGAGGGGCAAGTGAACTTTACTGCAAGAGCCTGGGGTCAGGCAGCAGGACAAAATAATTAGTCTCAGTGGGAGATGAAGAAGCTGGCATAAGGATGTCTGCACTGAGTCAGGAGAGAATCCAACAACAGCCAAGAGTTAGGTGGTAAACCAGCCTCTCTCAAAAAGCTAGTCTCCTCTCTTTGCCTCTCCCTTGACAGGTATATGGTCATAGGGAGATGGACTTTATTTGTGCCTGTTGGTTTCTGAGGGTGAAAGGGAAGTAGAAGGGACCAGCTCTCCAGGCCAACACTGCATGAAGAAGGTCTGGAGTGCTTGGGAAGAGAATACCAAAAGTATGTCAGTTGGAAGTTAGAGTAATCATGAAAAGATGGGATATGCTGAAAATCAGACTTGGATCAGATTTTATTTTCGCTCAGAGCTGTTCCTGCTGACACCCCTATGGATATGGTCTCATTACATAGTCATTGAATGAATCGGGCAACTCAGTTTCCCCTCATGGGTCAATTTTTTCCCTCTGTAAAATGAGGCGTTTGATCTGGATTGGAAGTCAATTACCTTAGTTCAAGCCTCAACCTGCTCTGTCACTGATGAACTACATGAACCCCTTTCTATCTGTAGGCCTCAGCTTTCCCACTTCAACTTAATGTACAGTATAGACCTGAGAGACCTGAAGATTACCTTCAACTTTATCATTGTCGTAGGCCTCTTCTGCATCACTGTTAATGTCTTCTGTTGCTGCCTGGCTGCATAAGTCAGGTATACCAGTTCCTTCTGGTTCCCCCACCACTAACAAGTGGTAGGAAAGGGGACTTGAACTTGTTATTGTAAGGTCTTTGCTAATTTTCAACATGGAATGCTTGTAACAAGGTAGTGACCTTGGCAAGGCCTGGATGCCCACTCAACCACTAACCAGTTATGTTCCCATTTTGTGAAGTAACCAGTTTTTCACTTCAGAGCTCCCTTAAAAATCCAATCCTCAACAGCCTGCCCAACTTCAAACCCCTAAGAAGCTCATTTTCAAATTTCCGCTCTCATAGACAATTTAGACCCTGGCAGAAATTTGATTTGAAATGAGATGTCAGTTCTGAAACCAAACTTCCTGCTGTTAACCAGGTTAAAACTATTTCACACTTCTAGGCAAGTTACATACCAAATCTAGATTTTTAGATGTCTATTTTGTTCCAAACCTTTTGAGGATTTAATTAATGTACCAGGTCTCAAGCTCCCAAATTTTATTCATTCTGCTAGATTGACTATCAATTCATAAGAGGCTACATCATACGCTAAATATTAATACTGTGCTGCTTTAGCCAACCGATATGCTCTCCAAAAGCACACAAGTCCACACATGCACATGCATGTGTGTAGAAGTAAATTGACACCCTGCTGTGTTATGTGACACCAGATAAGGCAGATTTGGGACCTGTGAATGACTTTCCTTCACCTGGAGAGAAGAGGGTGGTAGCCTGATTCTTAACAGCTATTCACACCTTGTACAACAAAGGAGGCCCTGCGGAACTGCCCTCTAGTGAGTTGGTGGGTATGGGGCAGGATAAATGGAAGCAGGGGTTTTTGTGCTCAAACATTTTCAATGGTCTCTCCTGAGGCCCAGCTTCTCCTGTTCCACTGCTGTTTGAGCTATTTGGATAATAATTAGGCCCCTTCCTACCCACAAAGCCAAGAATCAGTGTTTTCCTTTGATGAGTTGATAAGGGCCCAACTGGGACCAACAGAGGGGGATCGGGACTTTGGCCTTGGTTCAGCCATCAGAGGCCAACAATACCCCAGCTGCCTATTTGTAACAGAAAAACTCATGGATAGGGACCACTGTCTTCTTTGTAGCCCCTAAGCATCAACCTCATCCTCCTGACCCTGGGATGGCCCTGGCTTGGGGTGGCAAGTTACTATTAGCTCTTAAGTCACAGCCAGGGATGCCTGGCAAGAAGATGAGAAAAAGTTTGAATGATAGGAACACAACATACCAAGGCACAGAATAGGGAGAAAGACATACAAAGAGGCTGAGTGAGGAGAGTGGTTGAGCTCCTAATGAGGTGAGTTGTGATAGCTAGACACAGCAAGACTGTTGCTTAGAGTATGGGCATAGGAAATTGTCTGGCAGCTATTTTAGAAGGTGAGAGTCCAGAGTCCACCTTTCCTGGCATGTTTAATGCCAGCCAACCAGAGTGACCCAGGATGCACAGCATGATGGACACATTTGTTGGCAAAGGCTAGCAAGGTTTCACCTTCTTAAAAATAACTGTCCAAACCTTTGTGTAGCTGCTGCCTCTACCTTTTGGAGATCCAAGTTGGGAATTGGATTTTCCCTAATACAGTCTCTTTCCTGGCCTACCCCAGGTGGAAATATTGACCTGGCATGAGTTAGTACTTCACCAGGTCAATAACTATTGCCCCTTCCCCATACCATGCCATCTCTTTATCATCAGGCCTCCTCTGCCTGCTGAGATGAAAGGGATTTCTTCACATTCTGACAGATGGATACAAGGATGGGGAGCTGGGCCTACCAATTGCATTGGCCTGGGAAATCTGTAAAAATAAGTGAGTGCTGTTTAAGGCCCCTTCCCTATGTGATATTCTACTCTTCCAGTCTATGATTATAGCAGCTTGAGCCAAAAGGTGAGGTGTGGCTCAGCCTGAGATGAGTGGGACTGATGCTACTATTAGGGGTGGGCTGGGCCAAGGTAAGGCTGATCAGCCCAAGCTCTGGGTCCCTCCTTTATTTAAGCACCCATGTGTCTATGACAGTCATAAAAAGAAATAGAAAGGGAAGAGAAATGAGGAGAAAGTAGAAGAAAAAAAGGAGGAAGAGTAGAAGGAGGCAGACTGTTAACCAACCAGATAATGGGGAAACTATCTATATACTTGTAAACTAACAGCACCCACAGTTCTTGGGAAGCCACAGCCCTCAGAAACTCTAAGGCTAAACAGGGCTCCTTGTCTCATTTTATCTCTCTGCCCTCCCCCACCCCCTCCATCAGTGGCTCCTAAAGTAAGATGGCAAGGAGCTTCTCAGCACACAGAGGCTTGAGTCTTCCCACCAGGCTCCTGAGGACACAGTAGCACCTTTGACAGTTGCTTCTATTGGGTGACTAACAAGCTGGGGCCAAGAGGCCCCGTGCCCCTCCCCCCAGGGGTTAGAAAGTATAGGGAGAGGTTCCAAGGGCCAGGGGGTGATCCAAAGGTTTTCTAGATCCTGGGAGAAGGACCCTGGCAAGTTTGAAGGCATTCACAAAGAGAACTTGGTTACTAAGTTTGGAACACCCGGAGCTTTGGCTCCAAAGGGATGGTCAGGTGGCTAAAATGCTGTGTGCATAGGTTTGGGAACAAGTGTGCTGGTGGCAAAAATGTAAATGCTGAGCAGGGTGGGGTAAAGGGTAGGGGTTGGAGAGGAGCACACAATGACAAGGAAGAGGCATTAGATTGGTTCTTCAGGCATGGGAGAGCCTGGCAGCAGCTCTCTACTGGGTTCTGGATCAGGAGCCAACATCTTGTCCTTGCTGGAATCCCTTTGCTCTTTCTTGAACATCCTTTGATGCATCAGAGGGACGAAGAAGAGGATTACAGCTCCAATTATTGGGGGCACACCAGCAAAGTAGAAGGCCACATGGTAGTCCCCAAAACAGGTATGGAGGAGGCCTGAAATAGTTGAGAGAGAAAAGTCAAGCTCAGCTTTGCTCTACTGCCCAAAGGTGCTTTCTGCCTCTTCTCGGGGCCATCAAAATACCTGTGCAGAGAATTTTGGCCTAAACTACCTTGACCTAAGCGACTTGAAATACTTCTAGTTGTAATGAATTAAACCTTTATTACAAAGGCGGATGACTCCTCCAAGGCAATGGGGCTGCAGGCCTTTGAGGTTAATGCTGATTATGAAAGAAGCTGATGAAACTTCTTTTAAAATTCTCCATTTGTGACTCTCATGAAACTACAACTAACTTCTAGTCACTCTTAGGTATGGAGTTAATTTAAAAGAGGGAAGCTAATTTGAATGAACTTCACAGAATATGGCCAAGCCTTGTCTTGGTTCACAGTGGCATACCCTCCCACCCCAAAGTAGGACTAAAGTGTTCTTGTAGAACAATTCAGTCAAATTCCTACTTGTATTTTCTCTTAAGTTCCCATTTGCCCTACAGGGGGTGCTGTATGTATATCCTTCCTTCCAGTTATAGATATGGTTTGTCCCTCTGGGTTCCTCTAAGTTAAGAATACCACCTATGTGCTTGGCATGAGGTGCTAGGCCTCCTCAACTCACCTTCAGAAGCTAATGTGAACTACCTCATAGGAGGAATGAACTTAGAAACACTACTGAGGAAAGGCAAGTAGGCTCTTGTGCTGCTTAGGAGGTAAGCAAATTGGAAAGGGATGTGGATTCTGGAACCCACCTTTGGGATCTGTGGTTGGGTAGAGGCTCCCCTCTCCCAGTGGGCAAGTGGGCAATGTGATTGGTACAAAGGTGTGAGTAGAAGTTTTTGCCACTGTCATACAACATGACCAGAGACCTTACAACATCTTGCACAGAATTTGTGTTCAAGGAATATTTGTTGAGTTAGCCTACTTGGCCAGCCTAGGAAAAGCTAGCCTATAAATTAGTATTTGCAATAAATCTTAAAGAAAGGAAATAAAGTTCTCTTTCCATTGGTTTTCCTTGTTTCCTATGTTTCCTGGGGTACCAACAATGTCCTTCTTGAAGAGTGGAGAGAAAAACCAGAAGTGCTGAAATATAGCAAACCAACACTTTGCCTACTCTTTGTAGGAAGTGAGCCTCATTAGCCCAGTCCTGGGATGAGGTCATAATCAAATCTCTTCCACAGGCTCAGTTCAGAAGCCAGTAGAGGAGGAAGGGGTGTCTCTATGTCTTGATAAAACAGGGCCCACTTTCTCTTCTCTTCCTTCCCAGCTACCTTGCAAATAATCACTTACCTGTGAAGAGAAAGGGGATACTAGATCAATAAAATGGTTAAGAAGGCCAAATCCTTTCTCTCTCCACCCTCTTAGAATCAGCCATGCTGCCCACAATAAAATTCCACTGAAACAGACATACAGCTATGAAAAGACTATTCCCCAAAATGAATCCATGTACATATACTGTGTGCTTAGTCTCTTTCACTAATAGTTGTAATGGGTTTCATGCACTCTGACGAGGTTGCTTAAACAGAGAATAAGAGGAAGGGGAACTTTAATTAGAGGTACTTAGGAGAGCTATTGCCCAGAAAAGACAGGACTCCCACACTCCTACTCCCCCCATAAAATCAGCCTCACCTGCAATGGGGGGCCCAGCAATCATCGGCAGGGCCATCATGCCCAGGAGGTAGCCAATGGCCTGTGAGGCCTGCATTGGGCCCACCAGTTCAAATGCGATTGGGGCCATGATGGTGATAAAGAAGCCATCACACAGGCCTAGGAAGAGGCAGACAACGATGAGGCCCCCGAAGCCCCGGCACAGGGGAATCATCATGGACATCAGGCCCAAGAGCAGGAAGGAGATGACCTAGGGGAGCAAGGCCTGAGGTTGGTCATGTTATGCTTGCCAGTCAAGACCACATAGCAAATAATACTTCCTTTATCAGGGTCTCATTCCTACCATATATAAAATGAGGCAGCAGGGTGACAACAGAGGAAGTAGTTGTACTAAATAGTTACTTAGGCCCCTTCTAAGTCCTACATTAAAGGATTCAAAGTTTTTGAGAGAGCTCCTATTTAACTGTGAGTCTATGTCGTTGCTGTCAGTGGGTTTGTTAGGTTCATCAGTTGGTTTTTAGAAAGGATTAGAAGTGTCCTGGCCATGCCATGTGAGGAAATCTCTTCGCTGGGGGGGACTTTTGAACTTTTCCCAAGCTGTTTTGGGATATTTAGGCAATAAGAACCCAGATACCCCAGCTTCTTCCCTAGGAGATTCATGCATGATATCAACAACCAAGCACAATGCTTTAGCAATATAGCAAGAGTTAATACCATTATATAACACAAAAGACCCCATTAACTGATTTTAATCAGCTTTAATTACTACCCATTTTATCTAGCTGCCCGTTAACATCCTCTATGTGGCCCTGCCAAGGTTTGGAAATTAAAAATCCCTCTTGGAACTGAGAATCAGGCCTGAAGTGAGGCTATTCTGCAGGTTGTCACCATTTCCTTTCCAACAGACTGTCCAAGGGCTTGACACCAGACACATGTACCTGTCTTCTGCAATAGTAGAGACTCTTCAGAACACCTGAAGCTACGTGCATACTCCTTTCATCTCTCAGTCCTGTACTCAGGGAGAAGGGCAGGGGTGGGGAGCAAATTCCTGTGATAGAGTATTTTCAGTAGCTCCAGAGAAAGAAGGTCATCCATTGTCTTGTGCTCATAGCCTGAGACACCAGCAGGATGAGTTTAGACAAGTCACTTTCCCTCTCTGGGCCTTAGTTCCTCATTTATGAAATGAGGGAGTTGGACTCCAAGTTGATTGTTTCAGCTACAACATTCTAAGATTGTTTTATATTATTCTAAGTGGTAAAACTGGGTCAAATAAGAGTGGAAATGGGGAGAGAGTGGTGGGTGGGTAGGGTAAGTGGTCAGCAGAAGCATTGGGCCCTAAGCCTAGTTCTGCTTCTGACTAGCTAATTCTTCTGCTTCCATTGGAACTCACGCTGCTCAATAGAAAGCAAAAGCTGCTTGAGCCCCACCTCTCTCCTAGGGACTGTAGTGAGAAATAAGCTATATGGCTAGGCAAGAGCTACTGCCTCTTCTCAAGATAAAGCCCTGGCCCGGTGCTAGCTTACCCAGATTTTCAGTACCCTGTGGTATCTTGGAGCTGCTGATACTGGCAGGAAAGACACACAGGGGTGGCATGTGGAAGAGGCTGGGAAAGCCACACATAATCTAATGTAAAAATCCACCCAGATAAGGCACTTGCTGATATTTGCACAGGAATTCAAAATTTCATAATTGGTTTATTTCAATCATAGGCTTTTGGTTTGACTTATTATCTCTGGGACTTGGTTCTGCCTTCCAGCACTTAAGGTAAAGTAGAATATGAAAAGAGCATTACATAGGAGTTCAGCTCTGCCACAACTGGCTGTAGGTCTCCCCATGAGTTTACCCATCAGTACAATGAGAGAGTGGACTGGATGAATCATAAGTGTACCCCTAGCTCTGACAAAGCAGATTCACCAATTCTTGAAAACCTAACACAGAATTCAATACAACAGAAAACTTTGTCTAAGGCATCTGAGGGTATTTAGGAAAACCCTTGGGATTGTCAGAAGACAGAGAGATCACTGTTGTGAGTATAGTTAGGCCCCCTTAGCAAATGATTTTAGGGCTTTCTTAGGGGAGTCAGAACTCAAGTACTTCCTGATGGATTATTTGTGATCACATGTGTTCTGGGACAGCCATTGCCCCTCCACAGGGCTTCACACTTGGGCATCTTCTAGTAAACTCAACTGCAGGAGCAATAAGAATGAGCCAGGTCAGAAAGGCAATATTGCTATCAGGTAGACAAAGAGGCAGCTTAAGCAGTCAGTTGTCTGTATTCAAGCCAGACCAGAGTCCAATTCACACAGAAAGTGGCCTGTTGTGTCTTCTGCCCACAATATGAGGCTACTTGTGTCACTATCAGTAGGATTAAAACTTTGCATGGCTATAAGACTTTTCAACTTCCCAAAGCCTGGTCATGCCTATAATTGTTTTAGTCCTCACCTGTAAGTTGAGATAGGAAAAGTGAGAATTATTCTCATTGCACGAATGGCTAAAGTGAGGCCTAGAGAAGGGGAATGGTCTGGCCTTTCCTGATACTTTTTTATGTCAAAGAAGAAGGTGGCATTTAATAGCCAGTGTTTGGTGCCAACTAGCTCTGGAGGTATAAGAGTTTTGAACCTGACCCTGGGCCTACAGAAGAGAGACACCGGGCCACAAGGTGTTACACATGTCCAAAACCCTCCAAAAGAGTGTAGGGTGGCCATGAGATCACACCTCACTGGTGGCAGCATCTAACTGCTGGTCTCACTTTTCCTCTTTCAGGTGGGAGAGCCATTATTAACAAAAACTTTCTTTGAAAATGTTCTACAGGTTCCATTCAGACTATTCTCACTGGATCCTCACTCCATCTTGATGAAAGGGGCAGAACAAGAATGATTATATTCATTTGAAAGCAAGGCAAACTGAGGCTCAGAGAATTAATTGACTTTCCCATATTGCATAAGCTGGTGTCCAAGCTGAGGCCCAAGGTACAACAATGACACGACCTACCATTCTATCCTAAAAAGTGGGCACGAAGTAGCATCTGTGGCAGTATTTTTCCCCACAGTGGACAGGGTGGTCACACTCACCTGCAAGTAGATCTTCTTAAGTCCAGGAATGGAGTCACTGACACGGCCTGACACAAGACGCCCGAGGCCTGAGGTAGCCCCAATACACACCAAGAGCACCCAGGTCTGCTTGATTTCCAAGAACTCCTCTTCCACATACTTCATCTGAAAAGCATAGCATCAGAACCCCCAGGACAAGAGAAAGAAGAGGAGCTGACTGATTAACTGTTGGCATATCCAGAACCCTCTACTGCTTACTTGTCTGGACTATGATAAGAACTACTTTTCTTGTAGCCCTAGCTCTGAAACAAACTCCCTGGCTGCTTCTAAGTGCTTAAAAGGCTGCATATTCCCTGGTTCTCTATATTCTGGGCTATTGAACACAGCTGAGGTGAATGGGTATCTCCAAGCCCCTTCCAAGGTCTTGCAGGACAAAATACAGCCTTAACAACTGAGAAAAATCCAGTGGTTCCCCCACAATCTCCCCATTCCCTGACCCATAACTGACAGACTGGGGAAACAGCAGATCACCAGTGGAGAAGGACCCACCAACTTTCAGGTACATTTCTAAAAGTGTGTTTTAAGAAACATGAGGTCTATGGAAGATAACAAGAGTACAACTGACAGTTCTAGTCAAAAGTTGGGTGGATGCTGGCTAAACAAAACTGAAGGATTTGTTTACTGCAGTATTTTTTGGTACCTTTAAAAGATTGCTACATAATATGAAGCTAAAGAGATCTAATATATGTTTTTGCCTAAACAAAATCATTTGACCGCAAAGACCAGCATTCCATAGAACACACTTTTAGACAACCCGATACTTGGGTCATTCTGGGCTAGTCTCCTCCACCCCAGTGATGCTTATCTTCTCCTGAAAATCTATCCATCTAGTCTTATCAGTGGGATAAAATTCAGGCATGGGCTTTTTCCTAAGGAACTCCCCTTATTTCCCACTGAAGTCTTCCCTCAACCTGTCCTCTTTCCCACTCTGAGTCTCTCCAACTACTGTTTGTCTGTTTTTCCAAAGGTCTCACTTTTGCCCTTTCAATATCCTCCACCCCTACCCTCTTGCACTTTAGGCAGGTTAATGGAAGATTCTTGGGACCAGGTTGGATGGGCCCATCCTCGTATTCCTCACCAGGTGTACATAGGGAACGAAGTAGCCAAGGGCAGCAGCAGCAATCCCAAAGGCCCAGATGCGGTAGGTACGTTGGCGAAACACTCGCATGTTGAAATACTTCCTGAGTTGAGCCAGAAAGCGTTGGCACACGGTATGGACACCTCTCTTGCTTGGGGTGTCCTGGGAGCTGGGCAGGAGGGGCCGGTAGGTGAGTGAAAGCAGTGTAAGGATAAACATGAAGGTACTCAGCACCTGGAAGGTTTGGGCCAGCTTTATCTTAGTCCCCAGCGTCTTGATGAGAAGGGGGAAGGATATGGAGAAGATGCTACTCCCAGCAGACACTACACCATTGGCCAGACCCAGGCGGCGTTGGAAGTAGTGGCCCAGGATGACGAGAGATGGCTGAAAGGCGAAGGAACAGCCACAACCAAAGAGAATCCCATAGGTGAAGTAACGTAGGCTCAATGAGCTGTGGGAGAGACACCAAGAGCTATCCTCAGCAGTCTTACCAGAAAATGTACCTGCCCTTTTCCCTTCACCCTCCTGAAACCTTCATGCCCCCCATCATTAACCCACAACCCCACTTACCACTGACCCTCAAAACAGACAAGGAAAAGAACCTTCTGATCCCTATTTTGCAGATGGGGAGACAAGCTCAAAGAAGTAATTTACCCAAGATAGCATAACTGAATCAACAAAGTTTGTACTTGACTCCAGATCTGTGTGACTCTATTTTAAGTCATAGCATCCAATCAGAGATGATTGTTCAAAACAAAGTCAGAACCAGCCTATTCAAAGGCTGGATGAGGGGCCACAAGGAACAAGTCAGTGCTTTAGAGAGAACAGTTTCACCTATTGCTCACCTAGGCAGCATGGGCTGGCTGGTAGCCAAAGCTTTATCCCAAGTAACAACAAACACCTGCAAGGAGCCAAGATCCTGGAAGGATGAGACCTTCCATAGGACTCTTCAGTATCTTTCTCCATGTTCAGAGTTCTTAATATTTCAGAGAATGTCTGGTAGTCTCCTGAGAGATAGCCCATCCTCAACCTACCCAAAGTCTGAATATCTCAGCATAACCTAGCTGCTTGATGGGAAATGGAGCCTCAAAAAAGTTATGGGTCTCACAAGGTAACACAGGTTCTGGCTTAAAATTCTTAAGCCTGCAGGGGTCATAATCCTCTGTAACAGAAGGCAAAGTGGTCAGCAGGGAAAAGGCCATGTAAAGGCTAGCTTGGCCAGCCATCTGCACCCCAAAAATATTGTCACAACCTAGTGAGGAATTTTATTTTCTTTTTGAAGCCTCCACATATTTTGCAATAGTTTTTATCTGACAACTTAATTATCTACTAGTCTCCATGGTCAGGCAGTTTCTCCCCATAGATAGAGCCAATCCTCACAGTAAAAGGACTAGACCTATGCTGAGGGATGATATGGTGATTGCATGCATGATTCCAACCACAGCAATCATTACTATTGCTTTCCATCTGTTTGTATTCACTGAATATGAGCAAGGGCTCTGGTTTCAAAAGGGTTATCTCCACTTGGAACACATAGCTAAGCCAACTACTCCTCTTCCACCAGATTCCTTGGGGCCTGCTCCCCTGAGATTCTAGGGACTCAATGGGATGGCATGGGCAAAAGATTTTGTCTACAGGACAGGAGTTAGATCAGCAGAGTGAGGGCTGGTGAGGGCAAAGCATGAGGTTCTGTCCAGGGTGTTATGTGGTAGGTCTATTTCTAGCTGCACCCTAAGACAGGAGGCCCCTGAACAGGCTTACAAGTCCTCCCAAGCCCTGCCTGCATTCTGTTCCACATCATACCATCCAAAGGAATTCAGAGCCCTGATTCAAAGAACAGGAAGAATGACTTAGAACCCCAGGCACAAGCAGAACCATTTTTCCACTGAGTGTGAAGCCACCCAGAAAATTTCTCAGCTTTGAAGATGTTGTTATAGAAAAGGCAAAGGGGTTGAGCGAGGAGCTTAGGGGCCTGGAGAACAGAATGCCTACTCCAATGTGCCTAAAGACGAGTGCCAGAAGAAAACATGCCTGATCTTCTTCCCTTTCTGTAACAGCTCATGTGGATTGCAAGGGAAATGGGATCCGTATGTTGCTAATTTGTTTACACTTTGCTATTCTTATCCTTAAAAACCAGACCTCTGCTCTGTAGTGCCGAGACTGGAGCTGCTTCTGAGGCCTAGCTCCTTCCCACAAGGAGCCAGACTGACCAGCTTGCTGAGGATGAATGAGACCAACCACTGGAGAGGTTCCGAAAGGGTTTGGAGCTGCTTCCCTGGGAGGACTGAGCAGGTTCCAGGTAGGACATGGTTTTCCTCTCCTCTGACTTAGGTGGGACTGACTCAAGAAAACATGGCAGGATAGATCTAAGCTTTGCTGGAGGGTAGTCTGGGCAGGCAGAAATACTTAAGTCATAAAGAAATCTGGCTCATCCTCAAAGGGCCCAATTGTGGCAGAATACCATTTATCATTCTGATGTGAGTGGAATGTTAGACCTAGAGAGCATAACCATGGCCCTACTCTGGGGAACAAAGCTCAGAATGTAAATCTCTGATGAATTAACTGTATCTCCAGGCCAGCATTTTCCTACACCAGCCCAGGCAGATTGGAAGTAGGAGGTACCATAACTTCCAAAGTTGTCTTTGGCAGAAAGTCAACAGAATCCCCTATTTCTCAGTTTGTAGTGGAGGGTTTTTTCACTTCTCGCCTCAACCACAGACATGCTTCTTCAGGGCTGGCAGAAAGAAAGCAGAAAATGAACCTGTAGCTTGCCTGGCACCACTAAGTTCTGCCAGTGCAACCAACAGGACCAGAGTTTGACTTTAGCTTAGGCCTGGTTGGGTAGCTCAGTGCTAGATTTGTACCTCAATTGGGATGCTGCTAAATATCCGTTCTCATGCCCAAGATACGAATCTTTATCCATCTCAAACTAACCATGCACTGGCAGCCAGAAACATCCTGAAAGGGGCCAGAAATGCTAAACAGCTTGGGGCTCAGCTGACCACTTTTTCAGCATAAGATTCCCTCAGGAATACTGTAATGGTAGGTGTCCACATGAGTTTGCTCTAAAAGCTCATTACTAAGAAGGCAGATGAGGTCATAAGATGTGTGGTACATTGAAGGGGAATAAAATGGCAGAGCTGGAAGAGACCCAAAAAGACCATCTGGCCTAATCCCCTCATGTTAGAGATATAGAAATTGAGGCCCAGAAAGGGGAATGGTACTCATCAATTGTTCCATATCCATTCAGTGGCCAAAACTGGACATGGGCCCAGCTGTATAAACTCCCAAACTTAGAATCCTCCTACCACTTTGGAACTCTTGTGTCTTCTTTGGGGATATTCCCTACCAATGGGCACTGGGGACCCTACCTAGATGAGTCCCATTGGACAATGAGTATCCTGCATGAAAAGGGCCACAGAAGATTCTACAAGGAGAAGAGTGTCCCTAGTTAAGTCCAGAAAGAGGCCAACCCTCAGGCTTAGGCATCCACCAACTCCTAGCCTTACCTGGTGAAGGAGCTGGTATGGAGGCCGATGAAAGCGACAGCAGCACCTGCAGTTGCTGTGATTCGGCAGCCCAAACGATCAGTAAATATACTCACAATGGGAGAACAGAAGAAGATCATGCCCATTGAGAGGGCTCCTACCCATGCTGCAGAGAAAACAAGCACAAAGATACCTTAGCTTAATGTGGTATCTGGTGGTATGACTGGTATCTCAATTCTTTTTCTCTGGCCTTTTACAGGGGCATTGCATTGGCCTGCGCTACCAGCCAGCTACTCCCTAGTGGCCAGAGAGCTTGGGCAATTTTCAAAGTACTTGTAGCAGGGCAATGTGAGAATGAAGAGTCTAGTTTATAAACACATCCAGAACTTAAAAACTGAGGCAGGGGGGCTTTAAAGATCAAGCAAATAATGAAGCCTAACTAGTTACCATGCAGCTATACATTTCTCAGCCTCTTTGGCTGTTTAACAAATCCATGTGACTGAACTCTAACCAACAGAATGTGGTTAAGTAATAAACACTACTTCCAAGCCTGGACCATAAAAATGTCTCATCGGGTTTCTGTGTTCTGATGGGCTACAAATGCAGAGTGACCTTGGAAGCAATGTATTAAGACTAGCAGAACTGGTATCAGTTCTGCCATCAGTTCTATCTGGGTCCCTGAATAACTACATTAAGCAAAGTTCCCCTTCCTTCTCCAATATGGAATCCCTGTTATGAATGATACATAAGAAACAGAGAAATATTTTGTCCTTTAAGCCATCAATTTTTTTAATTGTTGTATCCACTTAAAAAATTTTTTTATTGAATTTATTGGGTTGACAGTTAATAAAATTATATAGGTTTCAGGTGTACAACTCTATAATACATCATCTGTATATTGTATTGTGTGTTCACCACCCCAAGTCAAATCTTCCATCACCATTTATCCCCCCCCTTACCCTCGTCTACCTCCCCTAATCCCCTTTCCCTCTGGTAATCACCATACTGTTGTCTGTGTCTATGAGATTTTTTCTTTACTTAATCCCTTCACCTTTTTTACCCAGTCCTCCAACTCCCCACCCCTCTCACAACTGCCAGTCTGTTCTCTGTATCTGAGTCTGTTTCTATATTGTGTGCTTGTTTATTTTGTTCATTAGATTCCATATATAAGTGAGATTACATGGTATATGTCTTCCTCTGGTTTATTTCACTGAGCATAATACTCTCCAGGTCCATCCATGCTGTGATAAAGGATAAAATTTCCTTCTCTTTTACAGCTGAGTAGTATCCCACTGTGTAAAACATACCACAGCTTTTTAATCAACTCAATTTTTGAAGGCCATTTGTTATAGCAGTTAAACCAACAGGAACTAAAACAAAGATATCCTTCCACTACCATTTTATTGGTAAATAAGCAGGTCCAGAAATGTGAAGGAACTTATCAAAGATCATGCATCAAGTAAGTGGCAGAGCTGGGACTCAAATCTAACTGTCCTTATTCCTAGTTCAAAATAATTGTATTATTTTATATCTTCCATTGGGATGTATAAAGTTTCCCATCATTGGAGGTGTGCAAGCAGAAGCTAGATATAAAACAAGGGATTCAAGCATTGGGGTCATATTTAGACTAGTCTACATGTTGGGCCCTTTCAGGAATGCTAAACCAGATCTATAGCCTTAAGCACTCAGCTACTTGGCTTCAGAACCAAGAAGCATGGACATTAAGCCTTCAAGAGCTAAGGTGAGGCTCATCTTAAAGATGCTAAGACTAAGGAGCAAGGAAGGTCACAAACACAATACAGGTTCAGGAGCAACCCAAAGATTTCTAAAGACACTGTATAAGAGGGTCATGTGACCATTATGTCGAAGTTTTTCATCAGAGCCCATGCTGGGCAAATCCCTGGCTCCAAACTTGAATAAGAAGAGTTTATTCTATTTTAAAAGGCTGTTAAGTGTCTGTAACAAAGTTCACTAGAGAGAAAAAAAATGTCCTTTTAGTTAACATTCTTCTAGCCTAAGTTTCTCCTTGTTCAGCCCTCAGAAAGAAAGCCCAAGGATTTTTGTTTGTTTGTTTGAAGGCTGTTATCATGTTTCATCTTGGGCCTCTCTTTTCTAGGTTAAATAATCATGGTTCCATTAACTTTTCTTCTTATCCTTAATTTCTAACTCTGTTATTACTTTCAGACTTCTCCTCTGAACACATTCCAAGTCTTCATCATTATCAAAAACATCATTGAGTATCATCTGAGCAGAGCACCAGGCCAGCTTCTGGCTTTCATCAATTGTGGAGGCCCAGGTGGGCCAGAGAAGGGCAGTCTGAGTGAGGTCAGGGCTAGCTGACTGCCTTTGTCTCTTACTTCAGTGCCTAATAGGTTTTTCAGATCCCCACTGGGAAATTTTTAGTTGCTGGGGTGCCATCTTGAGCCCTAGCTGCCTAGGTCTTAAAGTGCTGGCCTGGGACAGCAGAGAAACCTAAACTCTCATCACAGGTTTACCTGCTACCTTGTAAGTTCCCCTCTTATCTCTGAGACCTTGGGCAAGTCACACAGCCCTTCTCTAATCCTCAGTTTATCATCTGTAAAATGGGAATTAAAATTCCTGATGTGCCTTCCTCAAAGATTTTGTTAATGAGATCAGATGTAGTGATATGTGTTAGAGAGCTTTATAAGTACTAATAGTCACATCATATTAAAAATTAATACAAATGGTTCATAGACTTAAATGTAAAACTTAAAACTAAAAACTTCTAGAAGAAAGTGTAGGAGAAATCTTTCTAAACTTTAGTTAGTCAAAAATTTCACAGATATTTCACAAAAGTGAGATTCATGAAAGGAAAAAATCGATACATTAGACTTAAAATTTTGAAACTTATGCTTTTTGAAAAATACTGTTATGAAAATGAAAAGGCAAGCCACAGGCTGGGAAAAATATTTACCACACACACATCTGATAAAAGATTGGTATTCAGAATCCAAGTGTGAGTTCTCTCACAACTCAATAAGAAGAAAACAATGCAATTTAAAACATGGGCAAAAGATCTGAACAGACATTTACACACACACACAATATAAATGGTAATTAAGCATATGAAAAGGTGTTCAATATCATTAATAATTCAAGAAATGTAAATTAATATTACAATGGGATACACTCTACAACCCACTAAAAAAAGCTTTTTAAAAATGGCAATGCCTAATACTAATTAGGATATAGAAGAACTGGAAATCTCATACTCTACTGATGAAAATGCAAGATAGCCAAGTGCTGGAAGCAACCTAAGTGCCCATCAGTAAATGAATGAATCAAAAAACTATGGTACATTTACACGATGGAATTCTATGCAGCAGAAAGAAAAAAGGAGCTCTTACCCTTCACTACAGCATAGATAGAACTGGAGAGTATTATGCTAAATGAAATAAGCCAGGCAGCAAAAGACAAATACCATATGATCTCACCAATAAGTGGAACCTAATCAACAAAACAAACAAGCAAGCAAAATATAACCAGAGACATTGAAATGAAGAACAAACTGACAGTAACCAGAGGGGAGTGGGGAGGGAATAATAGAGGTAAAGGGGGAAGGGTTTTCAGGAGCACATATAAAGGACACATGGACAAAACCAATAGGGGGTAGGAGCAAGGGTGGGAAGTAGGGATGGCTGGGGTGGGGGAGGGAGTGGTGGGTGGAAAATGGAGACAACTGTACTTGAACAACAATTAAATAAAAGTTAAAAAAAAAGTAAAATAGTATACCTACTTTGGTTAACAGTTCAGTGGCTTCTTATAAAGCTAAACATACAGCCCTGGCTATTGTGGCTTGAAGGGTTGCCAGTTCGATTCCCAGTCAGGGCATATGCCTGGGTTGAGGGCCAGATTCTCAGCTGAGAAGGGTGTAAAGTCTGTGTTTAGATTCTTTTTTTTTTTTTTGCATGGAGATGAGATGTCCAGTTGTCCCAGCACCACTTCTTGAAAAACAAACAAACAAACAAAAACAAACAAAAAAACCCCCACCATCTTTGCTCCACTGTATTGCTTCTGCTTCTTTGTCAAAGTTCACCTGGCTATGTATATGTGAGTCTATCCAGGGTTTCTAATCTGTTTCATTGATCTATTTGTCTGTTTTTAAATCAATAATACACTGTCTTGAATATTGTAGCTTTATAGTAATAAAGTCATGAAGTCAGATAATGACCGTCCTTCGATTTTGTTCATTTCCTCCAATATTATGTCAGCTATTTGGGGTCTTTTGCCTCTCCATGTAAACTTTAAAATCAGTTTGTTGATATCCACAAAATAACTTGCTGGGATTTTTATTAAGATTGCATTGAATCTATAGAGCAAGTTGAGAAGAACTGATATCCTGACAATACTGAGTCTCCATATGGATGAACATGGAATATCTCTCCATTTATTTAGTTTTTTGATATTGTTCATCAGAGTTTTGTAGTCTTACTCATATAGATTTTGTACATATTGTTAGATTTATGCCTAAGTATTTCATTTTGGGGAATGCTAGTATAAGTTGTATTTACAATTTAATTTCAAATTCCACTTGGTTATTGCTGGTATATAGGAAAGTGATTGATTTTTCCAGGAGTTTTTTTGGTTGATATTTTCAGATTTTCTACATAAATGATCATGTCATCTACAAAGACAGTTTTATTTCTTCCTTCCTAATTTGTCTACCTGTTATCTCCTTTTCTTGTATTGTATTAGCTAGAACTTCCATTGTGATGTTGGAAAGGAGTGGTGACAGGGAATATCCTTGCATATACTTGATCTTGGTGGGAAAGCTGCTTGTTTCTCACCATTAAGTATGATATTAGTATTAGGTTCTTAGTATAGATTTTTAAAAACTAACCTATTAAGTTTTTACCTTTTAAAATTTGAAATAATTATAGATTCACAGGAAATAGTCAAGAAAATTCAGAGAGATCCCATGAACCCATCACCCAGTTTCCCCCAATGGTTACATCTTATGTAATTATGCTACAATAGCAAAACCTTGAAACTGACATAGGTACAATATATGTATTAAATTCTATATCATTTTATCATGTGTAGATTCATGTAACCACCACCACCACAATCAAGATACAAAACTATTCTATTACTACAAAAATCTATTTTGTCCTACTCCTTCATAGTCACATCCAATCTACTCTT